CCTGAACTCTGTGGCTGGGCTCTGTGTCCAGGCCTTGTCCTCCTCTTCGCCGCGCCCCTGAACTCTGTGGCTGGGCTCTGTGGTCCGGTTTACTGGAGAGGAGTGTGGCCGAACAAATAGCGATGTCAACGCCGACAAAAATTCCTTGATGAAGCAGTTTGCTCTTGGGGTGACCAAGAAATCAATTTTTGACTAATATTGGTCTAAACGAATCGTTTTGAAGCTGTTTGGGGTCTATGCTTGGATAATTTTTAAACAGCCAGTTGGAAGGCAGAAATTTTGCATTTCGTGCCCTTCCGGTCTCCACGTCGGCTCAGCTCCCGACCCGCCGTCCCCGCGTGGGGCGGCCCCCGCCGCAGCGACTGCGGCGACGGTGTGCGCTCGCGGCTGCGGCTGGGGCCTGCGGGACGCCTGCGAGGCCCGGCAGTGGCGGTGCTAATGTCTTTCTCTGCCAAAAAGCTCCAAGAGAAAATGGTCCTTAGAGCACACAAGGATCGCTCTATTAGAGGCTGTGGTCCTAGATGCTGTAGGCTGCGGTTCTGCATCTTCAGCATGCTTATGTGTGGCGCCTTGTAGGCGCCTTTTTTCACAGCAGTAGGAACCCAACAAAAGCACCTCCAAGGGGGTTCTCTCCCCTGCAGCTCTCCCCCCCCCGGGCCTGTAGGGCGACAACGTGGAGCCCGGCGAACAGCTCCGTGCATCGTTCCGACCTGGCGGAGGGCGTGGAGCATTTTGTGGGCCAAGTGCCAGCGCCATCCTCCACGGCTGCTGTAACTGCTGTCGGTTCCAAGCCATCTACTGTGATTTCAATGCACCAAAATTTTGAGGTGCCTGAAAAGATCTCCGTAATAGTGGTACATTGTACATTGCTCCGTCCTTGCAGGTTTTCCCCACACATGAAGTAATTTAGACCTCACAAAATGAGGATCCACTGCCCATCTCCTCAGACCTACCCTGCCAAACTCACCGCAACTGACCGCAAAGCACCCTAAAGCGGGCGAAGCACCCTGTCCGCCCCGCCGTGTCCTCCCTCTGGTCAGTCCACGGCCTGGCGAAGCCGCAGGGTTCGGCCCAGGCCTCGGTGCTTTTTTGGGGCGCGTGACGTGTGAGCAGATGTGAGCAGCCTGTGCTCCATTCCCCAGGGAGGCTTGCAGGTCTGCCGCTCTGATGTTTCTCTCTCTTCGTCCATGGCTCACTGAGCCCACATTGGCCGGAGTCCTCCGGTCCTCCGGTCCTGCCTACACCCTAGAAGTCGAGCCACCATTGTTCTAATAGCCTTTACCGAACAACCATTGTTTCTCTAAGGGTTTTACACTACAAAACCAGATCAACCACTTTAAAAAAGGTCTTTGACTTCCAGGGTGAACAGGTCTTTGACTTCCAGGGTGAACAGGTCTTTGACTTCCAGGGTGCAGCTTACTCTGCCTCTCTTTCATTTGGCCCATCAGTTCCGCAACTTGATCTGACAAGTTCTGACCATCCTGCAGCAGCTCCTGACACTTCACCTGGATTCTCTCCAGCTCGTTGATTTGACTTTGGATCTCCCCACCATTGCGGTTCTCCCAGACCTTGGTATCGCCAGCCTGGGCTGATGCATGTCCAGTCAAGCCTGCAGTAATGGCCAGGCCTGCAGTGGCAGGAATCGTAACAGCAAGCAACGGTGTAAAGGGAGGAATGGCAGATAGGCCTGTGGCAACAAGGCCCAGTGCAGCACCACCAGCAGAGAGACCGCAAGCAACTCCATTCTCTCTCTCACTCGTTTGTGCCGACTCTTCCCTGCTGGTCGATGCGTCTTTCTGGTGCTGCAGGTGGTTTGCCTTCTCCAACATTTGCGCGGAAAGATCCTTGACCTTTCCCAGGAGGCTTGGAATCTTCTCATGCAGGAGCAACATCAGCCAAAGATGCGCATTGAGCTGAGCTTCTTCATTGTCTTCCTCCATCTGCTTGACATCTGCCAGCAACTTTGCACAGTTATCACGATCTTCTTCAAGCCGTTTGATCTCATCCTTGAAGTGATCCACATGCCTGCTTGACTCTTTCAGGAACTCCATGACACTCTTTGCATAGTTCAATCTCTCTTCTGCTGCCTTGACCTGGTGAATGGCCAGTCCGATGGCACCAGCAGCCAGCGCGCAAGACAGGAAGCTCAAAGCCACGATGGGCGCACCAAGGCCGGCAAATGCTGAAGCGGAAGCCTTGGATGTAGCAGCAATTCCAGAAGCGGAAGCCTTGGATGTAGCAGCAAGCCCTGAAGTGCCAATGCCACGCAGTTTTCCGGTAGCCAATCCCATCAAAGTCTTGCTTCGGCCGAGTCCCAAGACATCCCAAAGATGCTGGGCTCTAAGAATTCCAAGGGCTGTGGAACCATCAAGAACTGGCATTTCGGCCGTGGGCACTTGCCGCATCACACTGTTTATCAATCGCAAGCTGCCTGAGGTGTCGCCGGCGTCAAGGAGGCTTAAGGCCTTCTTGACGGACTCCTTTTGCCTTGTGTTCAAAACCGACTCCTTCTGCATCGTGTTCCAAAGGGCCGGGTTTCCGTCGAAGAACCAACGCTGGATTCCATGTTCCTTGATGGTTCTTGCAATGCTTTCAGGAATGGGATTGAAGCCTTCCTTCTTATACACCACCAAAATGCAAAAGTCGGCTTCATGCGACTTCTTATCGGACAGCAGCTTGTCAATTGACTCCACAGTCAATAGAGAGCTCGTATAGTACTTGGCATCGACAACCCCTTTGCGGCCATCGGGCAGAGACACAATGAAATCTGGATTGCTTGTCTTGGATTTCTGGGAGCCTGGTGGTTGGTGCGCATGCCCCTCCTGGCAGAAGTCGTTGTCCTTGCGTTCTGTGGCCCTGAAAGCTGGTTTGGTGACATTGCCTTTGCCATAGATCATCTCCAAAAGCTTCCCCGTCGCTTCTTCAAACTTCCGCCAGTCGCACTTGTCACTTCCCATGGCGAAACCCAAAAAAAGCAACACTTGCAGCAACACGTGCGGGCTCACGGCTCACTAACTTGGGTCAGGGACTCGGCTCTTCAAAAGTCTGCTTGAACATGCCCACCACCCAATCTCACACCATCTCAAGACCCTTTAGAAGCCGAGTCCAAGAGGACTCCCTTCTGAAGCCCTGTTGCCAAGCCCTTACAGGAAGGTCCCAGCCTCCGCGCATCCGGTCGGAGAGGCGCGGCCCTTCCATTGGCGGGCCTGGCGTCCGGTCGCAGCAAGGCGAACCGCTGTGTTCGATGTCCCACGTCCAGTGATGTCCGATGTGTTCACTCGAGGTTTTTAGCGTCAGGGATGTCCCAAACAAGATTCAACTCCTACAATTACTAAGAGATCATGGACGGCCACATGCAGACTGAGATGAGAATGACGAGGGGACAGAGAGCCAAACCACAAAGAAAAGACCGTGAGGGCCCATCCCCTCCGCTCCAGCTCTCCACACCTCCCCCGCGCAAGGAAGGAGCTGGGCGAGGGCGTCCGCCTGGAGCGGTGCGGCCGTTGCAACCAAGATATGCCCATCCCTCACCCGCGGTACCACCCCCTTGGATAACAATACTTTATGATGACGGTGCCAGGTCCCAAAAGTCCTCGAACTCCCCAAACAATCACCTCTCAAAGATGCCACCCTCCCAACCCTCTGAACCAACACCCGCCCAACACCCGCCCAAACGACACCGGGTCCCCCCGGCTCTCGCGAGGACGCCAGCGACGACGCCCGGCTCGAGGGCCGCTTGTCGTCCGCGCGCGCCGGGGGGCGGGAGGCCGGGCGGCTCGGAGGCCTGCGGACGAGGGCGGCGCGCTGCAGGGCGGCGGGGTGGAGAAGGACTTCCGCAAGAGGAGGACTCACATGGTGGGAGTTCTGCCGCGGGGCCAGGTCCTACCCAACGCCATCGGTCCAAATGCCAAAGTCCAGCACTGTAAAATCTGGAGGCCTTCTCTGGGTGAAAATTGATATTGTATGGGTATAATATATTGTATTGTTGCATGGGATCTTGTGCAACCCCATCTTGGGGTCCCAAGAGAGTTGATCCATGTCCGCTCGGCCTCCCTCTTGGTTTCACCGAGAACTTTTAGGGAATTCAGTCATGATTCATGGAATGTCATGGATATATATATATATATATACCCTAGAAGTCCAAAGACTATATTTTGACTGGCTGAAGTAAAGGAAGTTCCCTTTCAGGTCCCCTAAAGACCATTCTTTTTATAGTCTTTGACTCCCAGGGTATATATATAATATAATATATATATATATGATATACACCTCAGACTCTTGGCCAAGATCTACAGGCTCTCCAGCTCCAATCTCTCGACCACCACACCAAGCCCGCGCGCGCCCGCCTGGTCGACGCGGGACGGCTCACCGGCCGGGTCCTCTCCGCGCTGGGTGTGCGCGAGGCGGGCCGCGACCTGCGAGGCTAGGGGCGCAACACGAAGGTCTTGGACCCCCCTTCGTCTTCACCAATAGCTGCTTCAATGTGGACTCCATTGTAGGCTCTCTTATTTACTAGAAACCTCCCGTACTGAAGAGGTTTGACGAATCCAAGCGGGAGGAGGTTTTCATTCATCCAGGAAATCAGTCTGAGCATTTGCCAGCACCCGACTTGATCTAGGTCTCCGAAATGGAGGCTTTTGCTGACTTCAAAGTCACAGGTGACCTGTAGAGTCGGGTGCTGGGTATATATACAGTAGGTTGCCCTCTCAGAGCGGACCGACCGAAGGAACGAAGGAAAGAAACGTGCACCGCGCACACCGCACGCCTGTCCGCACGCAGGCGCGTGGCCAAGCTCCGCTTCTCCTCCTCCATTTTCTTCAACTGGGACTGTAAGCGATCAGCCTGGCGACAGGAGAGAAGTGGAACAGCCAGCGTTTCCTTGGAGCTCGCTCTCCTCGTCTTAAGTTACTTGTCAGATAAGTAGCAGTGAGCAATGGGTCGTGTTGATGGCACTGGATAGCTGATTCGAACCTGCATAATTACATACGTTGAACTCACTTCTTGGAGTTGAATCCATCAGAACACCTTGCTCTGGGCCCTCCGACAAAACGCCCAGCCCCTTGCACCTACATTCTCGGACCACAATGGGTGGCCCAGCACGCCGCGAGCCTTCTGCCGCTCAGCCCTCAGCTCGGCGGCTTCCTTTTCTCGTGCGCGCTTCTGCGCGAGCCTTGGCTTGGATCGTCCACTTCTTGTTGGAAGATGCGGAAGATCAATGGCATCTAAACCCCGGCACCACTGGCATTCCACGATGAAGAACTCCTATACCACCTTTCCTTGAACCGTTCGCACCCGTTCGCACCAGTTCGCACGAAGCTTCACCCGCCACTCTGAGCTTCCGATCTCCCTCTGTTTGAGCTCGTCCTTGAGGCTTTTGACCTCTCCCTTGCAACGTGTGAGCTCGTTGCGGAGCCGCAGCACCTGCCACGCGCGCCGTTTTTCCGGCGTGCGCGCGCCGCACCGGGTCGCAGGTGCGGGCGGCCGGCCGGGGGCCTCATCGTCACGGGCATGGTTCTGCTGACCCTGACCTCGAACAGCAGGTGGTGCGAGCATCAAAGAGTACAAAAAGAGGGGAAGGACAAGAGAAGTCGACGACCTGGTGACTTAGATCTTGCTTTCAACTGCAATGATGGCATCTCCGTCCATACCTCTCACAGCAGTCAAAAGCATCAGTTGGATTCCGGATGATTCAGGATTGAGATGGCTTGATCGATCTTTCGTGATCTTCCAACTAGACCTCAGCCTGCAAAGCTGTTCAACTGGCGCCAACATGCACCAACTATTCACCCTTCGCTGTTCTACGACGTCGCCACCCACCGCCACGGTCGGACGTCGCCGCGACGTCGCAGTTCTGGGCCCTGCGGAGCCGCAGCTCGGCACGCAGCTGCTCCGCTTCCTGGCCACGGCGGAGGGGCGATTGAAGGGATCCCTCCGGTGGCCAACTCATCGTCCCCTAAAGTGCTTGGTAGAAACCGGTGAAAATGAATGGCAAGTGGCATGGGATGCGGGTGTTGCCAGTTCACATCCTCTTCCAAACTCTCTCGGCCCAAACTCTTCCAGCGCTTCTGCTTCTCGCCTTCTGCATGGCTTGCAGGCCTTCGCTCCTCGGTGGATCACGCTTCGCACCACTGGCGTTACGTGTGCATCGCTCGCGCTACTCGCATGAGAGTTGGATCGAGTGCGGATGGCGCTGTGGTTTGAGAAAGCTGCTCAGCTCCGCGCAACTGCTTGTTCTGGATTTGGAGTAGGTGTAGCTGCTCCTTGTCCTCAGCATAGACATCTCTCTTGGTGAGCGCAAATTCGGGCTCTTTTTTGGCGAGTGTCGTGTGTCCATGTGTCCTGGACTCAGGCGCTACACCCACGAGTTTCCGCTGGGCATCCCGGGCTGGCTCGATCGGTGCAGGCACACCCTATTGCGCAATGGAACTCCGGCATGGGGTTGTCTCAACTCTGAGTCTTGAGTGGGAGGTATTTGAAGGAAAACCCAGCATTCAGGATCACAACGACCCATCCCAACAGCTCACAACTCAGTGGGCACTTCGACAAAATCGCCACTTCTCTCCTCGCTCGTTCACGGGACCGTCCCCAGAACCGAGCTCGCCAAGCTCCGTCCCCCGCCTGCAGCGCGGCAATCGTCTCGTGCGCCTGCGCCAGCTCCGACTTCAGCCGCCCCACCATGCCACGCAACACGTCCTGCACGTGGCCCAGAGCACGGCGCCGTGGGCCACGTGCTGGCGGTGGCCACCACGAGGATCAGAAGAGGACAAAGGTGGAACAACTCCATGTTGTCAGAGATCTATACGTGTTATACGTGTTATTTGCACAGCTTGACTTGAGACGGAAGACTCACCTGGTGGCCCTCTACCAAGCTCACTCACCAAGTGAGTTAATTACCCTTCTTCCCGGAACTTCCGAGCTCCTCTTGGCTTCTCTCGTCTGGCGGCAAGGGCAGTGGATAGTGCACCTCGTCGCCGCGGTCGCCCGCCGTTTTCCGCCAACCGCGTGCTTGGCAAGCCGGTCGCGCGGGGCCTTGTCGAACTCAGCACGGTATGTGAGGATCACGTACCTGGCGGAAAAACATCATGAAACAAGAAATCACCAGGAACTGCATCTGCTTCAGGTTGGAGCAACCTGCCCATCAATTTTGGGTCCTAGTACACCATGCGCCACCTCCAGGTTGGAGGGAAACGCTCTTCTTCTTGCTTCAACCAACCCATCGAACGCATGTTGCATCATTGTCGCCGCTGGCGCGTTGACAAACGCTGGCGCTAACGCTGGCCTCTTGTCCGAGGGAGCTGCCACTGGATTGGCCGTGGGCGGCCCCTGCAGGGGAGGAGACAGTACCAAAATCCATCTCTCCTGCTGCAAGCACTACCAAGAGTGGTGCGAGCTGATGAAAAAGCCCCAACCCTGCAACTTGGTATTTGGATGTAATTGGATTGTATGAAGCCTCTGTCATTGTTACTGCATTCTTGTAGCTCCGCCCCCCAACCCCGCAACACTCCCCAACGAATCCAGAAAGACCTGCGGATTGGCATGCCGCCGCAGCATCTCCAGGTCTCCTGCTTCAGCTCACACGGATCACTGGTGCTGGTGACAATCACTCGCACCCTGCGCTGTGACGTGCGCAGTCGATGTACGGATCATGGGCCAACGTGGATGGGATGGCATGGCCCCGAAAGGATGATGAAGAACTGCCCTTCCACGTGGTGAACTCCGGTTCCATGACTGCTTCAGGGAGTGGAACCGGATTGTCTTTCGATGTGTGCGTTCGAGTCACCGGTACAAGCAAAGCATCTCTTGAACATCTTCTGCGGCAGATGAAACGGTCTTTGTTTGAGGCCACCGGTGCTTGCACACTATCACAGGGGTCTTGCTTTGGAGTTTTGCATTGGGAAATTGCTTTGCGCGCCACTGAAACCGTCACAGCCAGCATTGCACTGCCAGTTCGTCAGCTAGTTGCAGCGAGTCACGAGCTGTGAGGATGTCCAAGTAGACGGACTCTGACCTTCACGACATTAAACGACTCCACAGGAGTTCAAGCGGGGCTTTTCTCGACCACCTAGGCCTCCAGCCCTGCTGCATGAAATGGCTCAACACTCACTTTCGCCCGCTCCACTAATTCCAACGGCCATGTTTAATTTAATCGATATACACCTCCAACATATAACATCATACAACCCAACATCGGGTGCCATGGAAGCCGACTGCTTGGAGTGCTTGCCGGGGAAAAAACAACACTGAGCCGCCCAAGCTCTTGCGCCAAAGCCGAAAGGAGCATCCGAACGAAGACGTCAAACCTCGGGTGTCACGGAACGCGTTGAAGCATCCCCATTTGCAGTGACCACGGGATGTTTCTGCGAGAAGAACAACTGCTGCCCTGTGAGAACTGTAGTATATATTTGGAAGTTCTGCCAGGCTGCCAGGGCACTGCAGCCCTGGCTGTTGAAACCCTCTCCACCATTGAAGGCTTCTTGATGCTGGAATCGAGGGGGAACCACACCGTTTGAAAGGATTGCAGTACTATGGATTTCTCTTCTGTCTCGTTGGAGTTCACGATGCCTGCAACCCCGCTTGGTAGTGAGTGGCAGTAACGCCGCTTGTGACTGCACATCTTCAATTCACAAAAAAGAACCTGCAAAAGAATGACGTTCCTGAACCAAATCGCGAGAGAAAAAAAATCGGAAGACCAAGCGAGCACGGCGTTCCGACAAGAGGGCCAGCAAGTCAAACAAATCCAAGAACATATGTTGAAAGAGTCAATGTTTAAAACCAAACTTAAAAAGGCAAAGAGTGGCCGTCTTTCGTTCGACTTCCTCCGAGTCCCCGGACTTCTTGGCGTTCCCCGTCTTCCGGGTGATCTCCTCCACGAAGCTCGCCGAGAAGCGCGAGCGCCAGCGCCGGCCGTCCTGGACCCGGAGATAGATGGGAGGAGAACCTCCGACCGGGGTTGTCTTGAGGAAATGGGAAGTATAATTCTTAAGGAGTTCTTCAAACGCAACGTGTTGGTTTTGACCTTTGGGGAATCCAAACCATGAGGTTTGATGTCTGGTCGCGGCCACAACCAACCAAAGGTCAACCGAAGTTACTCCAAAGAACGGTCCGTGCCCGTCCCACATGGCCCACATATGGTCGAGGCCTGCATTCGGAGGACGCACGCACGGGTTTTCTTCTTGGCTTCATCACAGCCGTATATAGGCCATCTTTTGCCCTTCGCATGCAAATCGAAGCTCTCTCCAACATCTCACTCTCAGGCAGCCGGATGGCTTGCCGGTATCTTCCTCTGCTGCCGGGCCAGGTCCAACTGCGCGAGCAGATTGGTCAAATCACCGATGGGGTCCACCACAGGTCTACAGCGCTTGCACGCTGCGATGGCCGTCTGATGATCCAAGTCGGCCGCATGCATGACGTACGCCACACCGGTGGTGCCGGCACGGTGCGCCCCTGCCAGGCAATGGATTAACACCGACTGTCCGGAGTTCACGGCCGCGTCGATCCATTGGAACACGGGCAAGAAGAATTCCAGGACACCCCGGGTGCTGCGCAGGTCCAGCGTGGCAAAGAACTTGTAGAGATCGAAGCGATAATATGCAATGGAGGGATCGCCCTCAAGTGCATTGACCATATCACTCGTGCAATTCACGATGTGCGTGATACGATTCTTCTGCAAAATCCCTTTCTGGCTACTGGCAGTGGCATTCCCAATGAAGACTTGAGCTCCTGGCAGGGTCGTCTTCATGGCCCAAGAAAAAGGGGTTAGTACTAAGCTCTATAGATTTCAAGAGGTCCACAACCCACAACATGAGATGCAAAAAGGCACCCTGGGCGTTTTTTAAGGCCCTTCCTCCTGTTCATCATATGGTTTAGTTCTCGGTCTTACGATCTTCAAAACTGAAATACGGACCCTAAATGTAAAAGGCCAAAATGATGTGTGCATATCTACAATCCATCAATGGCTACGAGACAATCACAATGAATTATGTTCGTCAATTGTGATTCATGATTGTTATGGTTATAGTTATTGCTGTTTTTCATCACGACGCCAGGAGTAGAGAAAACCGTCACAACGTATTATGTCGTAGCTGTCGGACTCGGCCGCGGATAAATAATTCTATCGGGTGGACCTGGCGCCCTTGAATGCAGGCCTTCAAACCCGTTCAAAAATTTGGCACCAGCCACCAGCCCTGCGCACAAAGTCCAAACCATGAACACACGTCCCATGCCGCAGCTGCAATCGACCCAACATCCCACCAAAGCCACCCGGCTGCACCCCCCTGGCTCCTGTGGTCGGATGCCTCCAAACAATGTCCAAGTTCCGGTAGCTGTGCAGGCGCGAGGACTCGTCGTTCGCCGCCCCGCCGGGCGTCAGGTTCAGGGCCGCGAAGAGCTTCCGCGCCTCCTCGTCGTAGTCGGGCCGCTCAGCAGACTCCCGAGGCTCGAGGCGCGAGGCTCGGGCCATGGCCGGCAGAGGCAGGGGGCACCGCGGCACCTGGGGCAGCTCACAAGAATGTGGCCCTCATCGGTGGGTCCAGCAGGAACACATGTCACGTTCAACTCCCTGGATCGAGCCGACGCACGGCCAGTGCGCAGGAAAATCATGGAAAATCCACCACACAAACACCCTGCTGGGCAGCATGACTTCTCAGCCTTACAGCGTGCCAGCAACAAAAGAGACCTATAAATCAAATAATAAAGCCTATAACGTCCTAAACAACCCCACAAAAAGAAGACGGGCAAAAAACACGGCCATAAACATGCGCGTGCCATGCGCACACCGACGAACGAAAGCCGCAAACAACCGGCCTCCGCATGCTCCACCTGCACGCGTTGCACGTTTCGGTGGAACTAGAACATGACACCGCTGAGGAAGGAATAACCCCATGGCGACATGATGCCATTCTGGTAGTAGGGGGTTTTGATTCAACCTCCGTCTAGGTCATTAGATTATGACACAGTACGTCTTTCCACCACCGTCTGAGGCGGCCACATCTCTGCTTGGTCCGTCTGAGGCGGCCACATCGATGCTCAACGATTCCGTGTCACCCGCCATGGACAACACATACTCAGCATCCTTAGGCAAGTCGTTCTTGGGATCGCCCCCGTCCGGGGGCCAGTCCGTCTGCTATTGGAACGTTCACTGTCATTCATTCCCCCTCTTTGTTTACCCATGCCCCCTGGGGAACCGCTGTACAGCCCCAACACACCAAAGATGTCGGAAAATGGGCACACCACCCACTCCGTGTCCGTAACCCTGAACACCACTCAGCTTGCGGCATTGAAGCGTCGGCGCTCGGACTTGGCAAAGCCCAAAGCCTGGCCAGTCGTCAGGTGCGATGCCCAACGTCCGCCTGCCCAGTCAGATGCTCTGTCCCCGCACCTCCACCACCATCGCTGTCAGAAAGCCACGGGCGCATGCCACGCACGTGGCGGGTTCAAACACATGACTTGACTGTTTCAACGCTGCATGGGTTGCATGTTGCAGTATCGGAGTTGTGAACGTTCCTGTACAGCCAAAGCGGCAGTGCTGACCCTGATGGAACGAAAATATGTTGAAACCTGTCATTTTGTGAGTTGCGTGTTCCGTGCTCATGTTCGCACCCAGGGTGCCTCTTGTACATGATGGCTATCGGACGCAAGCACAAGAACCCAATCACCTGCAGCAGGGCAAAGTCTGACTGCGCAAGCCGAAGTAAAAACTGAAACAACACGCGCTCATCATCTTCCAATGAACGGTGGACGCCCGAAAGGTTTGACAAAATAACATAAAATAACTTCGCACCATGCCCGTATTATCCCGTACTGTAACGGCGCGTTTGACTGCTATGTGCGACTCAGAACGCCGACACGCCCAGAAGAACGGGCGCACACACTTTGAAACCATCCGCAATGGTCATCCACCAAAAACTGTGAGGCATGCGGCATGGCAATCTTGCGAAGTCCAATGCCTTCTGGCCTCCTGGGCTCGCCGTACCCCCATGCGAGGGCAGGTGGTCCGCTTCAGCAGGATCAACACAAGGGAGAGAGACCAATGAAACAACAAGAACGTGCATTGCTGCATGTGTGATGATGGCTCACCCCCGTTCCCGGTCACCTCCGCGGTGTCCCGAAAAAAAATTTTTTGTTCACATGCAGACCCTCAGCCATTCGTCACAAATGCAGCCCCTCAGCCTGTCGCAGCCAACCTCCTCCTTCAGGACTTTGTTGGTCAATCCATCGGGACTTTGTTGCCCAATCCAACACCCTTCCTCCCCCCGCCCGTGGCTTGGATTTGGCCTCCTGCCTACGTATTGTTTGTCCAACCCGGAAGCCAAAACGAATTTTTGGTACGCGCCAGCTTTCCCCGAAAATGATCTTTGTAGGCAGCGGCAACACTAATTGTTCGGCCACAAGAAAAACAATAGGAGGACAAGACCCGGTCAGAAGACAACAGAAGGATAACAGAAGGACAACACGAGGACAACAGCAGGACAAAAGAAGCACAACAGGAGGACAACACCCGGCCACAGAGCCCGGCCACAGAGTTCAGGGGCACGGCCAGTCAGTGTAGCCAGTTTCTCCGAAAGCCCCAACAGTCAACTGTTTCGGGCAAAATAGGCACCAAAATGCAGCGGCAGAGGCCCTCATTACGAAGTCGTTGCTCGACGGGATCCCTACAAGCTGTTTTGGGTCTGGACTTCCACCCAGCCCGCGTGACTTGTCGGAGCTCCGGTGGCCGCCGGTATACAAATGGCCATGCACATCCGGGAGCCGCCGGTATAGAAATGGTTTTCCACCAAGACTCGTAGCGATAAAGGAGCGGTAAAAAATCAAAATAGACTATATCTGCAATAGGGTTTCTTCGGTCTGAACACCACTGGCCCAAGACGCCTCAAAAAAAAAACATAAAAGACTGCATGGACCACGGGATCTGCCGGATTTGTACACCGGTCCAGAATCATCCTGACTGGTCCTCACAGCCCGAAAGGCCCCCACCAGGTGCACATTTGCCAACGAAGCACCGATGCCATGGCCAGCTCCAACTAAAAAAACATTGCTCGAAGCGGTGAATGGCATCCAAGTAGGGGCGTGCAGCTCATCAAGCTGCAAATCTCGAAGCCACAATAGGAACCTTCGTTGGGCACAGTTTCCATAGAGTACAATTTTGATTCATCCTCGGCGGCCATCCCCGGCCTCAAGCGAGGGTTGGTTCTACAATGATGTGCTTCGTCTGAGGCACGCCGTTTGGTCAAATGACCTCTGATTCCAGCAGGGTGCGCAGCTAGGCGACAAATGCATATATGTAGGCGCCACGAAAGATACATGCAACATGTCAGCAACGGGGGCGCCACGGCAAATGATGGAAAAAAACAAACATCTCCTGGAGGGTGTGTCCCGACTCACGTAGCGGTTGGCATCAGGAATGGGTGACCCAAATCCGTTTCATGGGCGCACAAGCGGGGCGAGTTTTTCACCCTCAAGGATGCCAGGCCGGGCAGAACCCGGACGGCGTCTCCCCACCGTATGTTATTAGTGAACGAGGCTTGCGGCACAGGGGCGCAGGGCCGAATGACTGATGCGCAACGGCACGAGTGGAGTGTCCTTTCAGGTGGGCCACACCAGCCCGTGCGTCGGAAGGAGCACATGCCGCGGATGGCTGCCGTTTCTGCACCCAAGCGCCCCCCCCAACGACCCAAGCCAAACAAATGGCCTGAATGGATGAGTTTGGGCACGCAGAATCCCTTGTTGCATCTCCACCGGACATTTGTTTAATGTATTCAATACATGAACTGGCAATCTTTTTGCCAACGGCGCCAGCAGCACTTGCAATTGTTATTCCCTAGTACCTCTAACATAGGAAAAATGTTCGAAACAAAAAAAGAAGCGGTGGACAGGTGGAACTTGGAACGCTTAGGGGCGTTTTTTTGGGCTGCAAAGCGATTTCAGACCTCAAGCAAAGCGTGAGCGAAGCGAGTCCAGCCTCAACCTGGGCCGTTCTAGGTCCACGAACCTCTCCTCACCAGGAGAAAAAGAACTGTCTATATGGGTTGAAACGCCGCGGGAAGGTTTGAAGGCGATCAAACGGGTGAGAAAGTTGCCCGGGCATCGCCCAAAACTTACGCACGAAGCCGTGCGGAGCCGAAAGGGACTGGGAATTGAAAGCGCACAAACTACAGGAACCATAGGTAAAAATAAACAGCGAAAAGCCAGCCAAACAAGGCTGTCTGTTAATTCGCCCGTGGTGGCTGGTCGTTCAATAGCCAATAGCCGGGCACTGCGCCGGCCGCACCGGAATGCAGAAGGGTGGCAGCTAGCAAGTCGCAATTGATTGTGGCCAACCCTCTCCATCAAACATGCTGCCAATTCAGCGAGTCTGTACACCCTTTCTCACGGCATTGTCCACCGCAGCGTTCTCTGAGTCCTTGTCGTTCTTGGTTGTGTCCAACAGCCTCCGCCGCCTGGGCTCGTTGTCACTGTATTAAGTGAAATGCGGCCCTTTCAGGATCCCCACAAAAACATGAAACCCTTAAAACTCCGAAGCCGACAGGATCAAAATGACCGTCTTCTTCTTTGGACAGCTAGGACCCATTCAGTCTGTAGTGCTCCGTCAAGTTTCACCCATAGCACGGGGACCAAAGCGCCGCCGACGGTGACCGGGGTGCCTGGTGGTTCCAAGTCATGAATTCCAATGGTGGTGTCATGGCATGCTACACGTTTTTCACGCCGCGGCGGACCACTTGCGGGAAAGTCGGTGCCAACAAATTTTTGCGCCGCACCAATCCACCTTGCACGAGACTTGGTGCATAGCTGACAAACTTGACGTGAAACAATGTGTTCCGTTCTTCTCGCGCATGTTTCGGTCTCAGTGGGCAGAGTTTTAGAAACTAGCACTCTACCCCCTGAAAAGTCAAACAAGCATGTGGAATACTTGTTGCCGACACGGATCGGCCAAAATACTTTGTGTGCCCACGTGGGTAGCGGAAGCACCGACAACGCAGGAGATCATCGTGACAGACATGGTGTAATCGCTGATGGTTGTGTTGAGCCGTGGCCATTGCAATAGTAGTGTGTGGTGCATGAACTGTGTTGGGAATTTATGCCTGCAGCAGGTCAGAGTCATGCCCTGGCATGTAGCCATGATAGTCATCCACGTGGGTGCGCAGCAAAATTCCGACCTGAAAAAAGACAACAACCAAAACAGACACCTGTCTGATGTCGACCACCCTTATGGCAGCGGTTTCGGAGGCTGTCCGGAAGAACGGTGTTGGACGTTCTGGGCGTCGTGAAAGGCATCGCGCGTCAACAACACCACTTGCCGAAGAGAAGTGTTCTGCCGACTCGGTCGCTGCTGCCGCGTCAGGATTCATCCCCGCGTGAAATGTTGGAAATGCGTTGGCTCAAGCCAAAGAACAAACTCCAGTGTGACGCCAGGGTTGTGAAACCTGCCAAATCAGGGAGGTGGATTTATCCGATTTTTATCCC